AGACTTTACTTTCTACATCCATTGTCCGAGAGACCTCAAGCTCCAGTTTTCGATACACGTGACCGTGAATTGGTACAACACGATGTTTAGGCTTAAATAAAAGCTGCTGACCCAAAATACTGTACAGAAAGAATTATGGCGATAAAAATGGGAGTAAAACATTCCAACAACAAAGAAAGATGTTCTGCAGGAAATTTGGATGACCTTCTATGAAAGTATTGCAAATCAAGGTAGGCGGACGTAAGCTGTTCGGACGTTCATTGAAACTTCTGGCGAATGTGCAATGTACTTCGACAAGGAAGCGAGGTGTTTAACTGATACTAGCTAGCTAATTCACCTAGCCTGCAAAGCAGGCGTATTTTGCTGTGCGATCGATTTGGACTCTCGACTGACCGAGAGTTGGGGCGAGTCAAAAAATGATTCAATACAATAAAACGCCTGCTCTAAGGCTAAAATTCACCTATGTGGAGAAGCAGGAGCACAAATGTTTAAAGAGTCTGCAGTCGATCTTAATTCTGCATTTCACCTCTAGCCTGCATTTTACGCTCAGTCTGCAGTCTGCATTTTACACTCAGTCTGCATTTTACCCCTGGTCCGCAGTCTGCAGTCTGCAGTCCGCAGTCTGCGTTTTACACTGACCGGATAAAAACTGAACTTTGAACCAAAATGAGTGTTTGTATCAAGCTAGCTTCATATTTTTTTGTATAAAAGTCCGTGAGAACCAATAACTGTATTAATAGTCTGAAAGCTGTCCACGATAAGGTTTAGCGCACGCGAGCAATGTGTGAGTGAAAGAGTGAATTTCCAATCGAGTTCAATACTAAACTGGTTCATTACGCTTCGCGAGCATATCAAATCATGTCAAAAATGCGGTGATTAGCCTGCGTAAAAGTTGCTTCCGCCCCAATCTCCTCGCGGTTTCTCTGCCCTCGCCCGCCTTTATTACTTAGCGCGCCCAACCAAAACCGCCATGCTACGCAGGCTATGCGGTGATTTACATACATGCATACATACAAACATACACGTATTTACATCAAAACGCAGATGTATCGGGCACAGGCAACCTACTAACCTAGGCTGGTCACGTACGCTACGCAACCTGACTGAATTAGTCTGCTGAGAAGCCAGGAAATATGCATGTGAGATGGGGACTGTTTACAGTCCCCTATTTTTGCCGACTGAGTTGGAGATGTAAATCGCCGCCATGCTGGTTTCTATAATGAAAGCGGAATTTTCCGATTCGCGGAATTTCCGGGTTTTCCATACAAAAGGTAAGCGTTCAAGGGCTCGTTACTTAAGAGGTTTGTTGACATCCCAATATGGCGCCGAGAAACTGTGAAATGTGCTCCAAAGTTGATATTTTCTTCATGCTGTTTTTGGTGTTACGCTTTTTTCATACATTTGCATATGCAAGAGAAATATACGTTTCGCCGAACGGAAGTGATTCCGCCAATTGCACCATGGATGCGAAGTGTACACTCGACCGAGCTTTAGAACTCGCTTCTGGTTTTACTTCAACTTCAATGTTAGCGAGTAAAGGAAATTACTCGCTTAAAACAAGCCACATTTTCACCAGGATTGCTTCCTTTAGTCTCATTGGCAGTGGTTTCCGTAATGACGTTCAAATAACTTGTGAACCAAATGTAAGCCTCGCATTTTCTCTCAGCAAAAATATAACTTTGGAGGGATTGAAGTTTAGAAAGTGCGCGGGATGGCATCGAAGTACGGTGGGAGTAGAAAAAAATTATCCAAATCTGAGGGGCGCCAAATTTAAGGCCGCCTTGGATTTTCGATATTGCAGGAACCTTCGGATGTATAATGTTGAAATTTCGTCCTCTCCAGGTCTCGGAGTTAATTTGTATGATGTCGGGGGCATTGTGAACTTCACACATTGTTTGTTTGCGGATAATTTCATTTCAAAAGAAAGAATGCACGCTGAATGGGAAGATGTAAGAAGCGAGAATGGAAAGTATGTGTACTCAGGTGGCGGCGTTTACGTTATATTCAATCCATATGCTTACGTTACAATAAATGTAACGCCTGGCGAGCATGACTCGTATCAACATAACAATATCTACGAATTTTCAAGCTGCCATTTTCTCAGAAACAAAGCTTTGTGGTTAAACGCACACAGAACGAACGAACTGGACACACCGGAACTTCCTTTCAGCCGTGGAGGAGGGCTAGCTATATATTTACCAGACAAGGCAAGTGGATGCCTCATCAAAATCCGATCAAGTGTTTTTGCCAGTAACGAGGCATCTTGGGGTGGAGGCCTTCAGGTTGAAATGAGGGGAACAACAGAGAACAATTCTTTAGAAGTAGAATCAAGTGTGTTTCGAGAAAACGGCGCTTTGTTGGATGGTGGAGGTGCCCGTATAGGAAACTTGCCAGAAGAGGGTGTCCATCTTCGTATAAACCGATTTAAGATGACCAATTGTTCATTTGAAGGCAACACTGCAATATTTGGAGGGGGGGCGTCACTGTATGGAACAACAATTCCCCGGAAGTGTTTCATTCAAACAAATCCGGCTGTTACACAGTTTTACTTTCATGGGTGCAACTGGGTGGAGAACGTGGGCAGTGTAGGGGCTGCCATTGGTGCATATCTTTACAACAGAAACGAGGATCTTATTGGGCCGGAAATCCCTTACCGCGTTTGCTTTCAGAATGACACTTGGTTTCGTTTCAATAGAGTTAACCAGCTTCAGCTTAATCTGACAATTGGACAAGGAACTCTGTACAGCTTGCAAGTACCTCTTATATTCAAAGGCAAAGCGCAGTTTGTAAGTAATACCCAATCTGCATTAGTTCTAGATGGGTCAACATTGATGGTCTACGGCAGCTTGCATTTCATTAAAAACACCGGTGTTAGGGGAGGGGCGATAGCCATGTACGGACGGTCCAGAATTCTTTTGCAAGATAAAACCTCTTCGTTAACATTTGAAGCCAACAAGTGTGAAGACAAAGGTGGAGCACTGTACATTGAAGCTCCAGGGGCCCCTCTGGTAAGCTTTAACGCCACTGGTGCAGCCAATGAAGCTTGTTTTTTTGGGTATTCCAATTCCTCAAAGGATTATGACGAGTGGAATACAACTGTTGTCTTCAGAGATAACAGCGCATCCTTAGGAAAATCAGTGTACGCCACAACACTAAAAAACTGTCGACGAGCGGGTGAGAGTCGGCAGCATAATAATGTACTGAAATGGAAGTTTGTCAAGTTTGTGAACTTGCCTCCAAATTCAACCTCCCTTTTGCAGGAAGTTGCAACAGAACCAGTTGACATGGGACATAATGAGAGTGATTGGGAGGTACCCCCCGGCGAGGTTTTTGACGCAACTTTGCAATTGTTTGACGAGGTTGGAAATCTCATCCCAGGAATTGTTGACGTCAGTGTTAAAACCTCTTCAGTTCAGCTCGACAACTCTTCGCCACTTTTTCTTGCCACTGGTGGCAAAATTTCAAGCATCATCTTGCGTGGAGAGATAGGAAGCCTCTTTGATGTGAAAATGAGTTATACAGGAAGCCAAGTTCTAGAGAAAATGGTGGAGAACGTCACATTGAAGGGTTGTCACGCTGGATTTAGTTTTGATAAGGACACTTTAAAATGTGAATGTATAATGACTAAAGGAGTATTGTACTGTGACAATGATGGGAAGACCGTTTACATAAAAGGAGGGTATTGGGCTGGAAATGTCGATGGAGAGTTTGCCACCTATTTTTGTCCTACTGGATATTGTAACTCTTTAACCACCGAGGTCTCTCAATACAAGTACATTGAAGGTTTTGTCTGCAGCGAGTCAAGAAACCAGAGCAGTGTTCTTTGTGGGGAGTGTAAGGATGATTACACTATTTCTTTTGGAAGTCAACGCTGCGTAGAAGCCTGTCCGAACTGGCATGTAATATTTGTAGTACTGGTTTACCTCGGCTTCCTTCTCGTTGTTGTGGGTGTGATGCTAATTGACCTCGATATCGCTTCAGGTTATCTGAACGCTTGGTTGTATTCATACCAAATCATGAAGTTGCTAACACCTGATGGTTTTGAATTTGACCCAGTTATCGAATTTGTCATTGGTTTTACCAATGTGCACATACACATTGGCGATCACAGTTTCTGTTTTATCAAAGGTTTGAACGATGCCGATAAAATGTTGTCACTGTCTCTCATTCCCCTCCTTGTGTTGGTAACGGTGGGTGTGTTGAAGTCTTTCGTAGATCGCTACCCCGACTGCACATTTAGCAGAATGGTTCTAAGACGGACTCCTACGGCTCCGTATCGCGCTGTATGTACCATTTTTGTTTTGTGTTATACAAATATCACAAGAATTTCCCTCTCAATTCTGCATCCTGCCAAAATTGTAGGTACCACTTTTCTTTATGATTACGGAGGATACGAATTTCTTCATGGAAGGCACCTTATGTACTTTGTCATTGCCATGCTTTACATTATAGTTATTGTACTTCCATTTCCGTTACTTCTGTTGTTTCGTCCGACTCTGACTAGGTTCCTTCGTCCAGTGTTCGATCTCCATAGATGGGACCTATACCTAAATGCATTTCAAGGCTGTTTTAAGGATCGATATCGGTGGTTTGCAGCTTTCTATTTTCTCTGCCGAATTGTGATCTTGTTGTTTTACACTTACCTACCAGCTAATTCTGTGAAAAGAGTTGTGTTGGAGGTCACCTGTATTTTCATTCTCTCCATCTTTGCGTCTTTGAAGCCTTACAGGGGACCCAACGACGTTGAACAAAGCATAGAAGGGGCAAAAGGAAGGAGGAATGAGGGAGAACGAGGAGGACACAAGGACGCTAGGCAGGAGAAAGGAGGAAGCAGTTATAAGTGGATCAACAAAATAGACATACTGCTTTTGACAAACCTCTCTCTTATCACTGTAATCAGTTCACCACTTGCCACCGACGACGACCAGGTTTTGACAATAGCTGTGAGAGTTTTAGCATGGGTTCCGTTGGTACTTTTTTCCGCCTTATTAGGTTGCCGAGTACTAGAAAAGTGTTATGAAACAAACTGCATCCCTGATCAGGAGGATGAGACACTTCCCATGTGTGAATCGTCTGATACTGAATAAATTTGAAATTATTAGTTTCCATTATCAGGAAATAAACTGATTATTTCACATTCTTCATACTTTACTTTTAGTAGATTTCCGTGGAGTAACCTTACGGTTCTATTCCTGGTCATAAATGTTATATGCTTGTGGATTTCTACTCTTCTTCCCATTCAATGTTGATTTCAAGTAGACTTTGTGCAAGCACCCTGTGAAACCAACATTGGGGGAAGATGATTTGAACAACACTTGTACTCGTACAAAGACAAAGTGTCTGATCTTGTGTTTTCCGAAAGTCTTTCAAGTAATTTAGTAAGACTGTGGTTGCAGCTCACATCGACAGAATGAGTATAACGATGTTCTCTGTAATCTGTTTAGAAAACGTAAAGATACCGCAAAAGAACAACTTTCAGAGAAATGTTAACTTCATGCAAAATAGCTCTCGTAGAAGACTAGTTGAAGGAAACTAACTCCAAAATGTAACGAATCTATTTACTGTTTATATGTTTTCTCCTGCCTCAGTCGACTTTTAATTGGAGAACTTTGAGTAATAAATACTTTCTATAGAAGGTTGTTAGATTCACTCTACACGGAAGTTCCCCAGCTTTCCTTGATAATCAGTTTAAGAAACAAGAATTGCCAACGACTCTGCCCTTTAGAAGTCAAAAGGGCAGAGTTGGCGGCAGATTTAATACTAAGCCGATGCACGTAAATTTGTCGAAAATAACACAAAAACAAACTGAGCGCCTCGAAATTTATGAAAGTATCTAGAAAGGCCTTTTGTAGCCATTCACAACTGAAGGTTGTTTTGTAACATCACTAAATGGTCAGGCAACGGAAGCAAACATTGCGTTCTAATTGGCTGCTCTCAAAAGAACGTAAATAGACCATTTCCGAGTCCCCCTCTGTATCAAAACGAGGTTAAGTGGCGGTTCAGCCTTTGATGTTGAAATGATTTTTCATTCTCATGCAAGTAAAACTAATTTTCTCAAGAAAGGTCGTGTGCTTGCTCTCATTTTGAATGTGAGGGTTTTCAGAACTCGGAAGTGGCCTGTTAGGCCTTTTCCTTTAGAAAATGGGAAGGGCGGCCTTTCGTTTTTTAAGGCAAAAAGCCTGGGAGTGAGGTTAACCGGGCAGGGCTTCTGTGTTTCAGCTATAAGAACGGTGTTTTCGGCTCGATTTCTGTAACGGAGCGAAGCTGCGCCGCGCCGATCTCGAGAGTGGAGCCTCACATACATCGGATAGGTTCTTTGCCACACTTTGGAGCAGTAAGGGCAATTACCATTGGAGCTAGTTCTCAAGTTGTGAAGTGGTTTGCCTCATACCTTGAAAGTCGGTATCAAGTCACATCTGTTGAAAACTGTCAGTCGACTCATCAAATGGTTCCTGTTGGAGTACCCCAAGGAAGCATGCTTGGGCCTCTTCTCTTTCTAATATACGTTAACGACCTTCCCAACTGTTTGGAGCACTGCCAGGTAGTCATGTATGCAGACGACACAGTGATTTACTTCAGTGAAAATTGCTGTCAAAATATTGAATACCACTGAATGCGACCTTGCCAATCTTGCCGAATGGTTTAACAACAACTATCTGACCTTAAATACACCGAAATCGAAGTTTGTATTGTTTGAAGGTGATAGAAGGTGGCAAATTTGCCAAGGCGTTAAGCTTGTCATTGATCACGAAAACCTTGAGAGTAAAGATTCAATTAAGTATCTAGGTGTTGTCATTCAAAAGAATCTGACTTGGAATGAGCATATCGAATCATTGATTCCGAAAGTGAATCAAAGAATTGGCTTGTTAAATCGTATCAAACATCTATTGCCTTTGAATGCGCGAGTCGCATTATACAATGCTTTAATAAGACCTCTCTTCGACTTTGCAGATACCATCTGGGGAGACAGAGATAACATTACATTAATGCATGATCTACAGGTCTTGAAAAATAAGGCTGCCAAAGTTATCCTTGATTTGCCCAACTATGCTTCATCGAACACTCGGATGGCCTACCTTATTTCAAGAGCACCTTGTACATAGATACATTACCACTTTTAAGTACATCTACGGACTTGTAGATCACAATTTTAATATTTTGAAAAACTCAGACATCCATAGTTATAACACTATAAGAAGGAACGATTTCCCTTCCTCTCGCTAAAAGGACGATTACAGAAAGCAGAGACTTTTTTATCGATGCGCTAAGGAATGAAACATTTTAGACGCATCCTTCAAAGAAATTAGCTCTCTTCTTCTTTTCAAACAGAACATTAAAAGCTATACATTTTAGATATTTTATAGCTTTTAATATTTTAATCTATCTGAAGATTAAGATAATAAGATTGTTAGTCGAGCTTGCTTGGGCAGAGCGAGACTCTTAAAATGCAGTCGTTTTTTTTTTCGTCGGTGGGACCTAGTTTGTAGGCCCCGCGTTCCTAGCGAAGACCGTGGAAACTGGGGATAAGAATCGTGACAACTTTCATTGTATGGAAATAAGTCTCGTGATGAGAATGCAGCTTATTTTCTGCGATGACTGAAATGACGCATGTAAGTTTGGCAATGATTTAATTTTCCTCGAATGGACGCCCTTGATTTTCGTGTAATTATGCACGACATGCAGGCACTTTAAAAAGGAAATATCCCCAAGCAGGATGAGAAAAAAAACCAGCCGCTCATTCCTCTCATTTCGACGTGCTCGATATCCTTCATCTGCGTCCTTTCGATTAATCGCATATCCACGTTTATTCTCTCCGCATTTGTTGATTGTCTCTTGTGCCAAGAAGTTCGCTAGTATTTTCTATCGTTAATCTTGTATTCGTGCTAGTTGTCCTATCCATTTCGCTTTGCAAGTGCCGTTTTCTCGACCTCTATTTGGTGTTTCTTCGCTTCACTTCGTTCGGCAAAGGTGTTGGTAACGTTGTTTTTTTGTTCCTTGTCTGTTCGTTATCTTATTTGCTCCATTGCACTGGTGCCAAAGGTAGTCATCGTCTCTGTTTTGTAATTCTTGTTCTCCATTTCGTACCGTTTGTCCCTGCTATTCCATCTGGCTTTGTGTGTAAGCCACGTGTGTCAACATGCTATCATCTAAGAGCACGAAAAGAGGTTTTGGTTCAGTTGGTTCATGTCCGCAGTGCGGACATTCTTACTTTACTCGAAGGAAGCTTCCAAATTGCGAGGAATGTGGCTATGATCTTGGAGGAACAAACCAGCCGGCTCCCAAGAAACCAAAGCGGAACTGTCCAAGCGCCGTTTTGTTCGTGGGTTCGTCTCACTTTTCTTGTAAGACGAGCACGAAGGACGATCGTTGTTTCTTCATAAAGGAAGGGGAGAGTGTGTTTTGCTCGCAACAGCAGTGTATGGACGTGCGAGCGACATCTGTTTCGTCTGGACGTGCAGCAAACTTTTCCTGCAAACATGCCGACCTTAGCAATAAAAGGGAGTGGTAGACTTTTACCTCATGCCAAAATGCTGCTTATTCCAATAAAATTGTTTTTATCTGCTGAGTAGGTTATGCTCTCGAAGGTTCTGCATTTTTACCGAGCAAATGTGAATTTCTTTAGTCCGTGAGTGTAATGTTTTTCTGCAATGCTGTATCACGCTGGGCCCAGCTCGTCCGTTTTCTTTGCGGAATGTTAAATTGTCACGGATAGTGACTTACAGATCCAAAATTATAAGAGTGAACTGCAGCTTCAACTGAAGCTACATAAACTTACTATGGAGAATTGAATTGTGACTCAGTAAACTCCAGCTTAGTGTTTTTCTAAAGATAGTGTGAGTCTTTTGACTGGAGCGCGTAGTTCCTCCCTTGGTAATAGCTTTGAATAAGCTTAACAGTCTTTAAACTGTTTTGTTTTTGCCACAGTTGTTGATCATCCAAGGGACGCTTGCGGTGGTCCTGATGGTGTCCCGTCCCCTGACGAAAAGGTTGCACTGTGCTTGGCTAGAAAATGATCCAATTGAGTTTGTACAAACAAAGTTCTTTAGGTGGCTATTGGGAGTTAACAAATGCGTGCAGATCGGGGGTAGGCCGTTTCCCAATGCGAACGAAGACAAAGTGCAGAGCGATTAAATATTGGCTAAAATTTTGTGAGCCGGAGCACCAAAATAAACTCTCTGGAATAGCATTTACAGATCAAATTGGTCAAGACAAAAAGGAACTTTGGCCCAGCAAATTAAAACGGCTACAAGTATTAAATCTCGGCGCAGATCTTTGCGACATATAGTCAGCGAAAACGAACACTCCCGCAACTATGAGCTATATACGACAGAGACTCTTAGACATAGAACAGCAAACATGGATTAGTGAAATACACAATGATGAACGAAAGGACCCGCATCAAAAAAGAACTAAGAACTTTAAGCAAATTTAAACTTACCCATGACTACGAAAATTACTTCACAAATGTAAGAAACATCAATCATAGAGTAGCAATCACAAAGCTAAGATTAAGCAACCACTAAAATCTTTGTTATCGTTGTAAGAAACAGATGTGTCTGTAGGGGCTCTGTTGATAATAAAAATAAAAGTTAAATAAAAATTATCGGGTTTGAACTGTCAAACAACTCCTGAACATCTTTCACTCCTGCATTAAACCATGATTAATCCTGGATTAGTGCTAATCGGCCTTTTAGGAAGCGGGTCCTGTATTACCGTTAATTGGCCTAGTTTCACGGGAATCGGGCCCAGGAAGTCAATTTTCTCAAGCCCTTCATTGTTAAATTTTTTATCAGTTGTGTTCTCTTTATTTTATCACTTTTGCTTTAGGAAGTCATACGGGTAAAGATGACAGGAGGTAAACGATTTGTGTTATAGAAAAGGGATACTAATATTGCAATTTCCACAAAAATGAATGAAAGTTATCCTTCTAACTGACAAGCTGCTCAGATTTCTTCAATTTTCCCACAAAAAGTGACATCAATTTGTTCGACAAATGAGT